TGTGTTGGTCAGTGAAAATCAGCTTTTATCTTGTGTGTCACCTGCCAACTAGTTATCTCTTGTGGGTTTAGTTAATTGGCTGCAACTGACGCCAGGAAACTTTGATGTGTTATTCTTCTCTTCTTGTACCTTTTAATCTTGTTCCTTGCTGTAACCAGAGCCCAGCAGCCTCTGAGCAGCTGCCAGTGATGGCGACTGTGCTGCTGCTGGGACTGTAAACATATGACTACTGTCCAACAGAGACAGCCAAACTAGCTGTACAGTGCACTGAGACGCTCTTTGATCTAACGCCTGAGTATAGAGTGTGTTTGTGGAGCTGTGTACGTGCATGTACCGTTTCCTTCGTCCAGTCTGTACACTGACCATGTACTGATTCAGACGTCATTGTTATTCATGGTTAAAAAGCTTTGTCATGAGTACCAGGCCTGCAAACTCAAGTGGTTCTGAAACTGAGCACCCCCCTCCCCCCGGGATTTGCTGCTTTTCTCTTTTATATAATCCTGAATTTAATATTTTATGGTTTTGAACTGTCGGTTGGAAAAAACAAATTATTTGAAGACGTAACCTTGGGCTCCGGGAAACTGCTCAACAACATAAAAAATAACTGTTAGTTGCAGCCCTATCATTTTCTCTGTCTTTAAATCTGTACCTGTAGGATTTCAAGTGCTTGTTGCCTCTGCTTCAGCGCTGTACAGTCTAAAAACAGCGTAGCCACTTAGCCATGTGCCACTTTCTTGTCCTAAAGACCACTTCCCTCCTTCTCTCTGCTGCACTTGAGAGTAGCTGGCATTGCAGCACCTCTGACCTCATTGCAGAGCAGCATGTCCTTTTAGAGACGCCAGTCACATCACATCATTATAGAGAAACAGCAACAGTGGTTAAGGTACAGGAGCTGAGACCTGTTGATCCAGAGGAATGTGAGTGTGATAGTTATTTGTTTGGTATTTTACGTAGTAAACAATAGGTATATGTGTTTTGGACGTGTATCATAGGCTACAATAGAAAGTGGTGATTTACAGTGCACTACTTTCAGAGCTATAGTTGGCTCTCTTTGGACAGGGTGTAATTACTGTGGCTCAGTTAAATGGCAACACTTTAACAGCAAAGGATCTTTTCTCAGTTTACATTTGAAACATGTAATCAAGCGTGGTCCTGCATTCAGTGTAGGTGCCCCCTACCAACATCAGAAAGGAGCCATATTTTTCATTCAAAGCTGAGAATTTCTATGAAAGGCAGCTTGTTTGCAGCCATGCTAATCAAGATTTAAGATAGTATAGATTATTTAAAACCATGGTGTTGAATTTTTCCTTTTGATTGAGATTATTCTGATGTCATATCACTCAATCCCTAATTATATGTATTGAAGCACTGCACACACACAAACATACAAACCTGCAGGAGGTGGTGTACAGTAATGTTCCTCCCCGTGAGCTGGAGAGTGAAGGCTTGTAGAAAATTTTCCTGCCATTAGCTGACCTGCTGGACACTGATGGCCTGATTCACTTTGTGCCCTTGGCAAAAAACTTAAGCATAGTACAGTAATATGCTTATCTGGCTGTGACACTGTGACACGGGTTTTTCATATCGGGCCGGACAGAAGTCCACACAGACTCGACTAGCTGAGCGTTTGGTGAGTGAAGTCTCTCCGGACCCTCGGCTGAGCTCCTCTTCCTCACTGCCAGTTAGAGAGGGCATCTGTAAGACTTAACCGAGCTGGGGAGGACCCGCCAGGCTCCTGATTAAAGTGATGAGCTGTAAAATCGAGGGGGGGGGGGGGGCGACAGACGGCTGCTGCCTGCTACGCTGAGCTTCATCTTGTCTGCAGGGAGACATACCTTCCCGCTCTACCTGTTTCCTCCTGTCACTGTAAATGGGTTTGTTTATGTCTACAAGCGTGAGATTGCCGTACAGTGGAGACTGTTGGAGTTCTGCTTCCATCATACTTTTGTTGCATCATTGTTGGTGGACTGTTGGGGCGTGATCGCACTCAGTTTGTTTTCTTTTATTTGAACAATTTCGTATATTGCAGTATTTGGGCTGGACTGTATCCAGATATTAAATTCTGGATATCACCCAAGCCTAGTCTCTTTAAGTCCTACATTGTTAGAAAAATAGACAGTAGTAGAAATTGTTTTATATACTATGACATTGTTGTGTTTACAGTGCTGACTGTAATTTTGTACTATTCGCTCTGTATTTAAAGATCTCTCTGAAAATATATATCAGCATTAGAGCAAATTACCGTCTTTTAATACTTAGTTTAGCAAGCATTGGCCATTCGTTTAAATAACCTAACCTATGTTTTCCTGAAAAGAGATGTCTAGCGGTCATGCGTATAATGACTTTCTTCTCCCTGAAGCGCAGCCTGGAGTAGTGTGATGTATTATAATGCCACAAAACCTCTCAGGAGGAGGCCACAATGGATGACTTCCTCTTCCCTTGGGTGCATGAAGTGTCTAACTTTGGCATCAGAGACCGGTGTTTGTCTCCTACCTACATTTCATGGAGGTGGTGGTTCAGAAAACACGCATGGTCACGGGCATGTTGTCCTGTGAGTAGGGACATCAGATTAGATGATGTTCATATCGGTCACTGTGGAAAGCAATGAAAAACCACCTTTTTTTTTAGCTGTTTAGGTATAAGGATTGTTAATTTGTTAGAACATGAACCTAAAGTAAAGTTCTCCGCATGTGACCCAGTTGAATCGTGGATTTTCCAGCCTTGGCACTACTTTGAAAGGAAGGCGAGATGCGCAGTTAATCACTGCAGATAAAATCCATTTCAACTCCCATTCTCATTTGCAGCCAAGCTCGTGTGCACAGAAGTAGGAGTCTACTTTGGTTTGTTTGCTGCTTCTTTTGAGTTGGATTCGTTGCTACAATTTGTTGGTATTGATCATAGCTGTTAAGAGTGTGAACTTTACTGTATTAAACACATACACATGGGGCGGCAGCTGCAGTTTAAATGGGATTGAATTAAAGTGGAAAGCTTTTTTTTTTTTTTTTCCTTGAAGTGCAACAAATAGCTGCTTTTTTCAACTTGTTGGTCAGGTCATGTTAAAAAAAAAACCCCAAACAAACACTTGAAATCTGACAGTATCTCCACATCATAAAGATGAGGCCGGAGTCTCTGCAGATTTGAAGGAATGATCTAATGACAGATTCTGGTCAGGGAGCCGGCATGTTAGAGAACCGGGGGATGCTGCGGGAAGTGGCGCTCTATCGACTGGGCTGTGACAGCAGGGAGGCTGAGTGTGAGGGCAGGCAGGCCACTGTCACCCTGGGGAGATTTAAAAGCCCTGCGCTGAGACAGCCACAGGCTCCTCTCCATTTTACTCTCTGTCCTGTACAGCTGTGAGTGTGGAGCCACAGGAGCCTCTTGTTCCTATCTGTACTCTGGTCTGGAGGCTCAGACACGTTTACTGTTAGTGCTGCGAGTTTCTCAGGTTTCCTCTCTCACGTGTGTGTTCACATACAAAAACATGCTTATGTTCCTAGACTTGTGAGGACTATATCCGTCAGCAAATCCTAGAAACAGCAAGGTTGTTTTGTCTTTTTGTAGTTTTTTGCTAAAATATACTGATTTTGATTGTCCTGTACATTCCCTGTATTTGCAGTTTTGGTGGTGGGCATGGAAGCAGTGCTTTGAGTTAAATGCTAACTTTAGCATGAGTGAATGCCTGTTGGCTACTAAATTTCATGGTAAACGATCCAATAATGCACCAGTTATTGAGACATTTCAAATCACAAATGTCAAACCTCATGGTGGCCCTAATACTAAAAAGTCAGGAAACCACCAAAGTCAGTAGGATTCATCTTCCGGAGACCATGAATGTCTGTGCAAAATTTTATGTCAATCAATCTGATAGTTGTTGAGAGATTTCAGTCTGAATCAAAGTGGTGAACAGGAATGCCACCAGCATTGCTCATAATAAAAACAGCTGAGTAAATTTAATTGCTGCAGACAATTATCCATCGCATGCCATGTGTTCTTACCTTCCAGCTGCTAGTTTTATATAAATTTCACACACCATGAAATCAACTTGTTGCCGTCACTCTTTGTGAAAACTGATGCTGTGTTACAAAGAATGAAAAAAAAAAAACTCACTGCATCACATTTTCAAGGAATGTCTAAAGAAGCGAGCTGTGTTTGATGTTGTGCGAGGGATCTATCATGTGTTATGGTGTCCCTGAACACAGTAACATTTTTTCCATCATCATCTGCACAATAACCGTCTTTTAGTTCTTTTCATTGCGTGTTGACACAAATGACAAACACTGTCTGTGAGAAGCAGGAAATCGATATTAAAACTCAGGCTTTAATACAAAAAATACCACCTGCTCTAGTTAATGCTGGATATTGTGGATTTGATACCAAGACAAAAAACTCCAGTATTTTTTTTTTTTTTTTTGGAGCTGGCTTAACTTTTATTTGTCTAAATGTCAGACTGCTTGTGTTGTTGATGTGGCAGTTTTCCATACCTCAGCATTTACTTTGGTGAGTAGAAAGTAGCCATAACTGATAGAAATGATGGGCAAAACTACAAAGACTGAAACTGTAATACTTTGAAAGGATCATTTAGGAGTGAACAAAGCAGCGGGCGAGAGCTTTGGCCAGCCAGATCTTTATTTTTGATGATTTTCCTATATCTGTGTGTCCTCAAGAGGGCATAAAGTTCTCTTTAGTATACACAAACACACAGTCAAACAAAGTTTACTGTCTAAATGTTGCTGCAGTTTAAAAGCCCTAGTTCGGTGTATGAAGCCCGTTGGCATCAACAGATTGTTTTTCTTTCAGACAGACACTGTCAGACGAACCGATTTATGAGATATGTTTTCCAAGTGTAAAGGTGTTACTTTGTGTTTCACCATGTGATTAACTGACTTAATGTGTTGCTTGCACTTTCGGCAAGTGCATGCAGAGGAGGCAGACAGCGCAGCGCCTGTGCAAAGAGTTTACACAAGCTCATGATTTCTTTCCACTTTTCTTTGTCCCCTCAGATGTTGGGAGAGCAGTTCACGCCCCGGCACACATCACAGAGAAAGTGGTGCAGCTGTTCAGAAGTAAAAGTGAGTTTACCTTCTTGGCCTCCATCCAGCAGAAGTCCTCCACGTCGGGAGTCATATTCTCCATCCACGAGTCAGAACACAGGTAATCCATCTCTAATCCTCTTCATTTTGGCCCGCAGCTCCTTTTCAGCACAACTTTACATCACGGATTACAAACCGCTCTCATTTTTAAATTAAACCCAGAGATGAATTTTCATCCTACTCATAGCTGTTTGCAGACGGCTGTTGATGAGGTGTAGTAAAGTGAAGATCAGTGTGAGATTACTTCACTGTTAGTGTAAATCAGCAGGTGATGGGAGGGAAAGTCAAAGGATGGAATAATGCAGCGTTTTCTCCTGTATGCTCAGGGCAGAAAGATAACCTTTCGTGTATTGTGTCTGCAAGATGAGTATGAAGCACTGAGCAATGGCAAGCATGCTGATGATAGAAGAGTAGAATAGAGCTGCACAAACAGACCAACAGCATCTAGCTGTGGCTGCTGCACTGATAACTACAGCACATGGCCTTGTACCTGAGCTGCTGTGAACCTGCCAGAGAACAGAAGCAGGTATACATCTTTTTTTTTTTCTCCCTGAGTAATGATTTGAACATTGGTAATGTTTTCTTGACTGTTTCAATGAGTCGTATTGAATTTGTTGCACTGGACTGAATGTTGCTGCAGAATGTGATGAGTGTAGGACTTCAGCATGTGGCAGCAGCGAGCTCTCCCCCAGCCCCCTGAGAAACTGTACAACCGTGAATTGTTTTTAAAAAGGGCAGGCAACATTGATTTTTTTCCTCCATTCCTCTGAAGGTAAAAGCTTTCACTTCTGTAAAACACACAATGTGAGCATGCAAGCGTGTGTGTGTGTGTGTGTGTGTGTGTGTGTGTGTGTGTGTGTGTGTGTGTGTGTGTGTGTGTGTGTGTGTGTGTGTGTGCTTGCTTGCCTGCTTGAAGTCAAGACAAAGGCAAAACCATACACAATGGGAGAGTGAAGTAGAGGGCCCCTCAAGTAAGAAAGCTAGTCCTCCTAAAACCTAGTTAACAAAGCAACCAGTTCCTCTGCGGTGAGAAGCAGCTACATGTTTGACTGAGGTGCCATATTTCCTAGAAACTGTGAATTGTCTATACAGCTAAAATGGAAAGGCAAATATGATTTTAGGAAACATCATCGCCGGCTGGATTATGCTCAGAGGCAACATATTTTTTTTGAATGGATGCAGCACTACATTTATTAACAGCAGCTGTAAATTAACAACATAAACTCATTATCTTAATAGGAAACATAATCCAATTGCAAATACATTTCAAATCGTGTTTGAGTACACGTTAGAGATTGGTAAACGTTATTTTTAGGAAACAGTGTTGATATACTTTAGCATGACTGAGACTGCCATGCTGAGTGAAAGCTATAGTACTTCAGAAGTAGCTGCAAACCTGAAGCTTTGATATTGTGTTACACTGACTTTTCTATAATGCGCTTATATTAAACTACCCAACGACCAACTACAATATTAGATCTTACATGTTGATTCGTCAGCAATAATTAGCGAATATTGCAATGTGGAAAGACTTGGACTGTTTTGCATCTTAAGAACTTTAACTTTTCATACTCTCAGAGTTCCTCTGCAGACATGTTTAAAATAGTAAAAAAATACTCTCTATGATTAATATTTTGTCTAACATGGTTTTCCCACATAGCAATTGACAAAAAGAAGAGAACTGGGTCTGAAGCTCATCTGCTCTTACTTCCTCATTGAGAAATCTGGATCAGGCCTTGAGCCCGCCCACCACCTCTGTTTGTGTTAGATTGACAGGTGAAAGAGCAGAGAGTATCAAGATGCTTAGAGGAGGAAACATCAGAGAGACTCAGCCACATGTCTGAGCCTCAGTCAGACCCAGAGTCAGGTGAGGAGTCTGTTCATCAGCGACCAGCAGGTTAGCACAGTTAGCATCTTTTATTTGTTTACGTTGTTTGTTAGCTTGTAAGTGGCAGTGGCTGACTCAGTGTCAGTGGTGGTGCTAATGTTAACTCTGGCTCTCTGCACAGACCCGTCCCCTTAGATATCTGACATGTGAAACCCTGGCTGTCTGAATCTGGTTTTAGGAGACTGTCATTGGTTCACTGCAGTTCCAACGTGGAAATACTCAGTCATGGTGTTGACTGCTTAGTTCACTCATGACATGTCTTGTATTATTAAAAAAAAAAAAAACACACAATATAGACATGTTTAAGTAAAAAATATTTTCATTGGTTTTTCATTTAATTGATTTTCATCTTTTAAGATACGGTTTTGAATGCAGGACTGTGATTTATAATAGAATATGTCTCTCTTCTTCACTAGTGTGTATGTGAACTCATTCCTCCTCAAGCACCTACTGCATTATCCACTCTATGAAGAGAAATGTATTGACCCCTGCTGTGCTTTAAAGGTGACCTTGAGAGTTGCCTTTTAGTTTCCTTCCTCTCTCTCTCTCTCTCTCTCTCTCTCTGTCAGTGTCTATCTGGCTCTCTCTCACATTACCTGCAGGCATAATTGTCGCACAGCAGGCTGGCCAAACAACAGCGAGGCTAAATGGAGCTAGTTGATTGTACTGTCCTCCTCCTCCGGGCGCAATGACATGCACCGTGCAGCACCTGCAGCTCGGAGGAGTGCTCGGACTAACCAAATGTTGCACTAAAGGCACTCAGGCACGCTCACCCCCACCCAGTCGTTAGACTTGATTGTTGTTCAGAAATGAGTGGCGGGGTTAGGGCTGTCCACTTTGAAAGCGTCTGTTTTCCCAGATTAAAACAACACATATGTCTGTACTTTATCCCCGGTGGAATGTCGCCATACGGACACTGTTTACTGCTACCTGCTTAAAAGAAACCAGCGTTTACCTTTGCTGTAGTGGCGGGGATGTGTACAATTGTCTTCTTGGTAGAAGTCATCTTTGTTGACCCATCCACCCACCGTAACCTTCTCCGTAAGAGGATTTGTGGATCTATACGTGTCTGTTTACAGTGAGATTTGTGGATGATCCAGAGTAATGGGATACTGTTTCTGGAGAAAGAGACATCGCCGTTGAGGCAGCAGATGTTTCAAATGTGGGTATCTCTCAATCTCGGCACATGAAACTAAAACTTAACTGTATTACCAGGCCCCACTGGGGATAAAATAGAAAATGAGCTTTTTCTTTCTCTTGTAATTTTGGTGACATTACAGCTGAAATCCAGAGTGAATATTTTGACATGTATTTCAGAAGTATAACAGAATAAACCTGCAGTCACTTATTTTATTTTCGAGACCTTTCATGTCACTTCAAATATTGTGCATTGTTGAGAGTCATAAAGGAGGTATTCGGATGCAAATCTCACCTCGCTGAGTCGTGGGAGGCTGAAAGTTATTTTGCGTTGAGGTGTTGTGTGAGTCAGACTGCCACACTGCGAGTGTAATTAAATTTGGCAAGATGGACGGAGCCCTGACCAGCTCAGTGCCGACCTGTGCTCCATTGTGACTGAGGATTTGTTGTGAACCTCTGAATCCTCTCTGAAGGCCCTATTAGAGCCCTCGCCTGATGCACATTCTTTCCCATTATAACACAGGCCTCCCATTCAGCCAGCGAACGGACAACTAGCTCTACCACCCGGCCAAATCTAATCACACATTCCCTCTCTGTCCCTTCTTTACTTCTTCATTTTTCTCTGAGCACAATCAATCCTCTCCTCCCTCCCACCTCCTCCGCCAGCTCGGCTTTTCCAATATGATAATATCCTTCTCTCCTCCCTTTTTTCATCCTCCGCTCTCCTCATCCTCAAAGTGAAAACGTCTTTTCAACGCAAGCATTTTTCGGTACGCGCCGCAAAAGCAGAAGAAGCTTTTTCCTTAAAAAAAAAAAAAAAAAAAAAAAATTCTTCTTGTGCCCGGCACTGGGGAATGGGAGGGAAGGTTTATTGCTGCTCCACTAGGCTGAATAGAACAAAAGGACCATTTCTGCCTAGCCAGCAGTTTTGTGGGTCCCAGCAACGCTCTCATTGTCAGCAAGTGGCAGTCGCTCTGTGATGAAGTAACTCAAAGCCCAGCCTCTCCGCTGCTCTTCCCACCTGAGCACTCAAACACTAAAGATGCTCAGCCAGCTCCTCCAGCTGCTCTGTTCATCTGCCTGCCCTTTGTCACAGGTCTGTCTCCCTCCGCTCAGTGCCTCAGCTCATAAGCACTTACAGGTTCTTCTCTTTTACGGAAACATGCTGAGCTGAAGTCAACGTGTGGTGGGAGTTGAAAACACACGCAGTGATGGAAGAGAGGGACTTGTTAAACTAGACTTTGTGCTAAAAGTTTGGGACTGTTGATGAGTAGGCACGGGGAAGTTGGACACAGTCAATATTTCCCTCAGTGTAAAATAACTTTTTATATGAGCAGTTAGTTGAACATGAGCACAACAGCAACACTTATTTAAAATTGGCAGCGCCCGACTCCGCCTAACTCCCAGCTAATACAAAAATTGGGCAAAGAGTCGAGGCGTGTGTGGAGCCGAGACTTTGGTGCACGCCGGTTTGTGGCAATCATATACTCAGCCACCTGTCACTCACAGACGCCATGCCCTCAATTATGTATGACTTTTAATAAAATAATAAAATGTAAACAGGTGAGTTATAAAAAAAATTCACCTCCCAAAGAGTTGTCATGACGGAGGAATTTAGCTAAAGAGACCAGGCTGTAAACATGCTGCTGTAAAGTTGGACATTTTAATGGAGGATCGACTCATTTTTGGAGCCAGCCTCTAGTGGTCGTTCAAGGCACTGCACCTCCGTGTTGACTTCAGTTTTCAGCCCCAGAGATTGCTGCTTGATTGTACCTCATTTGTACATTGCTTTGGACAAACGTATCGGCCAATTGAATACATGTAAATGTAGCCCCAGATCCAGGACCTGCATATGGTGTCATGTATGTCACAGTCCTGGACAGCTGTCAGGTGTCAGGAGATTTCACTCACTTCTATAATCTCTATTATCCAGGCAAGGATCTCTTTTTTGTAGTTTTGTGTTCCTGCAGTCCAACACGCATCATCCGACTCTTAACACATACTCTATATGATAGCCTTGAAAAAAAAGGTGGGAT